CTTACTCTGTTGCCCAGGGCTGGCTTTGAACACAGTTCTGCTTCAGCCTCCCAAGTTGTGAGCTGCTATGATGCCATGCTAGATCTATATTTTGGTGTTTCCACTTGCTTGGGGAATAGCTTTTTTCTTGGGCAAAGGGAGGGATAACACTGGATGACATGGAGGGCCCCTTTCAGTTCTACCATTTTCTAACGAATTTCATGAAAGAAATCAACGAACAAGTAGGAAACACGATGCTTTGGCAGATGAGAGATATGTGTTGGAAAGATAATACAATAAAAAAAAATCTTTTTTGAGACAGGGTCTTCCTGTAGCCCCAGCTGTCCTGGAACTCACTATGTAGAACAGCCTGTCCTTGAACTCACCTTAGACTCTCTATAATATCCATTACTTTTTAAAAAAAAATCTTTTTTGAGACAGGGTCTTCCTGTAGCCCCAGCTGTCCTGGAACTCACTATGTAGAACAGCCTGTCCTTGAACTCACAGAGATCCACCTGCCTCCACCTCCCAAGTGCCAGGATTAAAGGTGTGCATCACCATGCCTGGCTCCTCCATCACTTTTTTTATAACAATGAACAAAATGTGATCACTGGAGAAAAAATATATATTAATTTACTTGCTTTGTAAAGCAAATTGGTGTTATTCTTTGTAATTCATTGATGATTATGGTGAGTATTACCCATTATTTATATTGCATATTAGATATTATGTTCACATATCATCATATATAATTTTGTTACAAATTATTATGAATGTATATTAAGAAATATATTATGAATATCTATATATTTATCTGGATTTATTTGGATTATCATTTAAATCTTCATGTGTATAGTCTATTTTTTTATTCGCATAAACATATTACCATAAAGTTGTAAATTAAATCCCCCCAAATTCACGATTCATCCCACTAACTCACAGACAGTATGAATAGTCTTCGGGTGTATTTTTTGTTGATCACTAATGTGTTTTTTTTTTTGGAACTCACCATGTAAACCAGGCTGGCTTTGAACTCACAGAGATCCACCTGCCTCTGCCTCCTGAATGCTGAGATTAAAGGTGTGGGCTACCATGCGCCGCCCCACTAGTTTTATTACATCATAACAATTATAAAGTTTTCCTTTTGATTTAATTTTTCCTGAACTTATGATTTATGACCTGAAGCAAAATGTAACTTACTAGATAGTCAGACCCATGGGCTCTGTTTTCTATCGCTTTCTATGGACTTGTTACTAAGAGAATCCCTTGTCTCTGACATACGCTCACCTCCTAAACCCCAAGTTTCCCTGGCAGGATGAGCTCCCATTCTGCTGTACCTTCTGGAAAAGCTTATCATCAGGTGTTGGGGAATTGGAACTCTGGTGGGGATTTCGGAACCGATGCTCAAGTGACTTGTCATATGGGTAATTGGCTACCACAGCCCCTCCATGAAGATTGGCTGAGAGAACAAAGTTGAAGGAGCGCATCCACTGGATCACCGCCCTGAGTCTCAGGTTCCACCCGTGAAGAGATGAGGGATTGGCAGCCAAGGGGCAACTGAGCAGCTACACCACTACTGGGAGAATCCTGTTCGGAAGTGGCCTAAGGGGGAGCTGAGGAAATTTTGATTTTTGTGGTGATGGTTTCAAAATTAAGTAGATGGGACTCCTTTTCAAAATAAAATGAAATATGTGGAATCATAATACACAGAATGGGTACAAAAGACAAAGTCTTCTGTTTGACACTATGGTGGTGGGTACTTTAAATCACATATCTCTAAAGCCCACAGAAGTTACAAAACCAAAGGTAAGTACCAGTGGAAACTATTGATTTTTTTGAGTCAATGTAGGTTCATTGACTATGATGAATGTTCCATTCTGGGGTGGAACGTTGAGGGTGATGGGAGAACAAGAAAGATGTGGGGACTTTGTACTTTTCACTCAGTTTTGGAGAAAGAAGAGATGATGGCCCACTAGCAAAAGGTGTGCACATCTGCCCAAAGGCTTCTAAGACACCTTTGCAAAATTTAAGGATCTAGTAAATAAATCTGAAAAACATTTGTTTATAATAATGGTTTCAGCTGGGGCTGGAGAGATGGCTCAGCAGTTAGGAACACTGGTTGTTCTTGCAGAAGTTAACAACTGTCCATCACTCCATTTCCAAGGGATCTAATGGCCTCTTCTGTCTTCTGTGGGCATTGCACGACATGGGTGCACTTATCTACATGCAGGCAATACACTCATACACATAAAAAATAAATAAAATATTTAAAAAAAATAATGGTTTCAGCCTCTCATCCACATATCTACTGTAATATTATTTGTTTGTTGTTTGTTGTATGGTCTTTTTAAGGCAGGGTCACCTTGTAGCACCAGCTGGTCTGAAACGCACTATGTATGGAGATCAGGCTGGCCTTGAACTCACAGAAATTTGCCTGCCTTTGCCTCCCCCCACCTGGCTTCTGCTTTAATAGTGTAAGGACACTCTGGTAATATCTACATTTCATAGACTAGACATACTAATTGGTGCAATTCTACCTTTTCTATTGAATATTCTATTGCTAGTGAGTGTCAGTACTCTAAAGAAAGCCTTGAATCCTCGTCGGTGCCTTTCCTCTTCTCAGATGGACATGCTTTGTGGTTTTTGGTGTAAATGAGTTAATGATTCTTCCTGGACTAAAGGTTACCTCTAAAGACCCCATCTTTCCATCCCAAAGGAAACTGAATGAATAGAGTTGGGACTTTCATAATCAGAAATGACTTACAGTCACATATTAACAATCAGGATGCATAAGAAGGAATGTTAGGCAATTTTGTCATTGTAACAGACAGAGTGCACTTACACAAACTAAGATGGCTACATTGCCAGGGGATCACTGTTGTATATGTAGTCTGTCATTGGTCAAATTGGTATTTTATATAGCACATGGCTGAAATTCCAAGGGCATCAGTTCTGGCCTATGACGAGGACTTTGAAGCAGTTCTTTATGTCCCAAAAGGCCAGCTCCTCACCATCCCTCTACCTCTCAGCTGTTCTATCAGGAGCATAAAAGACTTTTGTTTTTTTATCCCCTCCTAAGAATTAGACAGAAGATTGAGAAGGAGCCTAGTCATCTTATTTTACTTAGAGAAACAAGTTTAATAAATCAGACTATGGTGCATGCCTCTAATTCTGGCACTTGGGAGGAACAGAACTTCAAGATCATCCTCAGTTTCACAATCAACTTGAGATGTGAGCCTAGGTGACATGAGATGCTGCAAAAAAGCGGGGGGGGGGGCATTCTTCTGACTAGGTATGCTGAGTAGTACCAAGTTATTTTTTTATTTATTTACTTGAGTCAAGAGGGCAGCCATTACCTGAAATCCTAACATGTCAGTATGAGTTTTACATCATTTTCAAAGGGAAAAATCTGAGATTATTTCACCCAGGAAACTTCCAAAGTAAAGGCTTTCACCTGCTTTACTTTTCTCTCTCTAATCTGTAAATTTACATATTCACAAGTAGAGTGGTTAGGGCTGTCTGGGATGCTCCAAGATTGACAGTATTTATGGCCAGTCACATTACCTAGGGGCTGCCAAATGGTATCTCCCATCAAGAAAGCAGGGAAATGAGGGGAAGCATGTTAGAATGCCAAGGGTCAAACATGCAGAGCAGAAAGAAGAGAAACCACGAGTTAGACTCCTTGACCCTCATGCTATAGCTGTATGACTCATCACATGTAAGAGAAACTTCTCTATACAATGTTGGGGTTCTGTCAACACTTTAGTGTCAGTAGAAAGAATGTTGGAATAAGAATTAGAAGGTTGGGGCTGGAGAGATGGCTCAGCAGTTAAAAGCACTGGCTGCTCTTTCAGAGGACCCAGGTGCAGTTCCCAGCACCCACATGGCAGCTAACAACTGTCCTAACTCGAGTTCCAGGGGACCCAATGCCCTCTTCTGACCTCCACAGGCATTGAACAACACAAATGCACTTACATACATTCAGGCAATACACTCACACAGAAAATAAAAATAATAAATAAAAATATATTTTAAAAAAGAGTCAGAAGGTCTGTGTACATATGTGTGTGTGTGCATGCATGCACATGTGCACATGCACATGGGTATAGGTATGTGCTTTTGTGAGCATGTGCACATGTGTATGTATATGCTTTTGTGAATGTGAACATGCTTGTATATGTATATGTATACATACTCGTGAGTGTGTGCATGTGTGTGTTTGTGCAGGAGGCCCAAGGTCAAAGTTGAGCCTCTTTCTTGGTCACTCTCACTTATTTTAAAACATTTTTATTACATTTATTGTTGTTATTGTTATTGTTATTATTAATTACTATTATTATTTGTGTGTGCCCCACAGCATGCAAGTGGGGGTCAGAGGACAACTTGCAGAATTAGTTCTCTCTTTCCACCATGTGGGTTCTGGGAATCAAACTTAGGTTCTCAGGCTTGCCAGCAAGCATCTCTACCCACTGAGCCATCTTGCCTGCCTTGCGCCTAGCTTTTCTGCATGGGTTCTGAGGACTCAAACTCAGGCCTCCATGCTGCAGGCCCAGCCCAGGTCTGCGTTTTAATCTCTTCTCCCTCAATTGCTAGCTATGTGAATCTCAGTTGACCTGTAAGTGTAGTATCTGTAAATGAGGGATAGTAATACTGATGCATTCACTGCACAGTATTACAATGGACAACGAAAACACAGGCTATGAAAGAGTTTTGTCAAATCGTCAAGTACCATGTAACCAAATGATAGTGCTTTCACCTCCTTTACCATCACCTTTACCATGAAGCATTCAACAAGGGAGTACTCCCTGGAAGGTTCTATGCTGTAGGAGGGAATCGAGACAAAGATGTAGAAGGATTATTCTTTTTTAATTACTATTTTTATGTGTATGAGTATATTGCCTGCATATAGGAGGTGTTCCCATGTCATGCAGTGCCTGTGGAGGTCAGAAGAGGACATCAAATCCCCTGGGACTGGAGTTAGGATGGTTGTTAGCTGCCATGTGGGTGCTGGGAACCTAACCTGGGTCCGCTGAGCCATCTTTCCAGCCCCAGAACAACTATTCTTGCTCTAGGCAGAGTAACAGAGAGGTGAGCTGATGCCTAGTTTTCACTCGTTTTGTTGATGTGAAGACTGCTTAGCACCTGCAAGCAATTCCAGATGTTGGTTTACCTGCTTCTGTTGCCAATTTTCATCACCTACCTGACTTTTCCAGTTGTCTGGGAGGGGTAAGTGGTGGTTGGGGCCTCCACGCTGCTCGTTGTAGTAGAAGTAGGTATTGAGATCGGGGAAGTTCCGGTTCAGATCCACCCCATTGGCATTGTTCCTGCCAACCAGGTACCCAGGTGTATTTGGGCCCTAGGGAGACAGGAAGAGGTGAAAGACAAGGGTTTAAGATGGAGTCTTATTTCATGAGTATTGTATAGCTTTTTAAAGATACTAGCTGAAGCTAGTATCATGGGGGAGCATGCCTTTAATCCCAGCACTCCAGAGGCAGAGCAAAGCGGATGTCTGTGAGTTCAAGGCCAGCCTAGTCTACACAGTGAATTCTAGGTCAGCTGGGGCTACAGAGAGACCCTGTCTCAAAAAAAAAAAACAAAACAAAACAAAAAAAATAAATAAAACCAAAAAAACCTGGCTAAATTAGTTACTTTTCTGTTGCTTTGATAAAATATCAAACAACCAAAAGCAACTTAAGGAAGGGTTCATCTTACTCGGAGTTCCAGAGGAAGAGTTCACAGTGGCAGAAAGGCGTGGTGTGGTGGCAGGAACAGGAGGCTGACTACATTTTATCCTCATACAGGAGGCAGAGAGAGGGAGAGAGGGGGAGAGAGATAGGGAGAGAGAACCAAAAGGGGGCCAAGCTGTAAATCCTCAAAGCCTCCCCTGGTGAGTGACACACTTCCTCCAGCAAAGCTCCACCTCCTAAAGGTTCCATAACTTCCCCAAACAGCACCACCAATGGGGCCCAAGGGTTCAAATACATGAGCCTGTGTGAGACATTTATTATCCAAACCACCACACTAGCTTATCTATGAAATGATGCAACATTTTCTTCTTTCACTTATGCAGTATAGTTCAAATTTAGCTGTAGACCATGAGATCCTAGGCAAAGCTCTATCAAGAGTGTGATGTTGCAGGGTCATGGGAACCTAGCTTTTTAAAGCTAGCGTTATGCCATCATTTGTTTTTAGTGTGCAGTTCAGTGAGTTTTAGTATGCCCACCGAGTGGCGCAGTCACCATCACAATTATAATTATTCTAAAATCACAACGTTAGAACATTTCTGTCCCCTAAAAATAAACCTCATTTCCATTCACTGTCACTTCTCATTTTCACCCAGTGCTAAGGAACCACATTCTGTCTCTATGGGTTTGTCTTCTCTCGACATATCATGTGAGTAGGGTCATTCATACATCAGATGTTCTGTGTTTAAGGTTCATCCATGTAGTATGCAGTTGTATTGGCACTTCATTCTTTTTCATTGCTTCAGAGGAGATTCATCACATTCTGTTTACCCATCCACCAGTTAATGTACTGTGCTGGTTTCTTTGGGCTAAAGTAACAAATTACCACAAACTGGGATGCTAGGATGGGAGACATTGATTCTCTCACAGATCTGAAGGATTAAGTTTACAACCCAGGTATCAGGAAGGCCAGGCTTTCTGAAGTCTTCCTGTCTCTTCTAGTTTCTGGTGGTTAGAGGAAATCCTTAACTATCCTTAGCTTTAAAATGTTTTCAATTTTTACTTACTATTATTGGAGGGGCATGCATATCATGGGTGCATGTGGAGGTCAGAGGACAACTTTGTGGAATCAGTTCTCTCCTTCTACTTCTATGCGGGCTCCAGGGATTGAACTCTGGTTTTAGACCTGTGCAGACCTTTTACCTGCTGAGCTATTTTGCCTGTCCTGCCCTTAGCTTTAAATGGATACTTCTAAGTTTGGCTTCCATCTTTACTAGCTTTCTCCATAATATATCTCTATGGGGTTTTTTTCCCCCTCCTTTCCTCTCCACCCCCTCTCTCTTCCTTTCTTTTGAGACAGGGTCTCACGCATCCTGGGCTGGCCTTAAACAGGCCAGGCCTCCTCCTCCTCCCCCGCCTCCTCCTCTTCCTCCTCCTCCTCCTCTTCCTCTTCTTCCTCCTCCTTTTTCTCTTTTTTGGTTTTTTGAGACAGGGTCTCCCTGTAGCCCCAGCTGGCCTGGAACTCATTATGTAGACCAGGCTGGTCTTGAACAGAGAGAGAGAGAGAGAGAGATCTGTCTGCCTCTGTCTTCAGAGTACTGGGATTAAAGGGGTGTGTCACCACGCCCGACTTCTTTCTTCTTATAAGAGTCCACTATAACCCAGTGTGACCTCATCTTAATTACATCTGCAGAGGCTCTATTTCCAAATGAGACCACATTCCCAGGATCCAGGTGAACACGAATTTGGGTGGGTGTGGGTTTGGGGTGGTACATACTATCTAACCCAGTACCTGGATAGTTGTGTCCACTCTTTGGCAAACATGAATAATGGTGCTATGAACATTTATGTGAGAGCCTTCCTATGCAGACATGTCTTCATTGTCTTTGGGTATATGAATATAAACAGAACTATTGCTCCATACAGTAAATCTGTGTTTAACTTCTCTGAGAAATTGTTGAGCTGTTTTCCAAAGTGGTTGTACCATAGAAACCCACCCTCTTAAACTTTAGAGCCCTGTCAAATTTCCTTCTAACTATGTTTATGCTTGTGGTTTAGTGCTTTGGTCAGAGACACATCTTATAAGGGGGTAGTAGTTGCTGCAGAGATTCCTAACTAGTCTAAGTGCTGCTCAACTTCAAACAGGACATCTATATCCCCTCCTCCCAGGCTCCAGGAATGTTGGGGGTTTGGGGTTATGAGCCTGAGTCTTTACCAGTTGTGCCATCTCTCTCTAGCCCACCCAGGAATATTGTGGAAGAAGGGGTACAAAGAATGTCAGAGTGTTATGGAATGCTATCTTTCAGGTATGACATGGCCACTGAACTCATAAACTCACAGTGACTGTGACCATCTGTGGAAGACCTGCCTAGGTTTGGGATCCTCAGTATTCCCTCAGAGTTCGACAGGGGCTCACGAAGCTCCACCACTCCCTGTGGATTTATAAGCAGTTAATCATTGCTAAGGAAGAGTGGCTCACAAGGCTCCAGCCCTCCTGAGGAGCAACTGACTGTTAATGGTTGATGGGGGGGAGGGAGACATTTTCTTCAACCATGTAGCTGTGGGTAAAATGCCCATACTCCTGTAAATAACCCTTCACCCATGATAATGTAAGCAACCTTAATTAAATTCATCAGCCCACACCCATCAAAAAAAGACATGGAAGTAGCAGGTTAAGTATCTGGGAAGAGGAAGGGGACCAGCAGGAGTTAAAGGAGTTAGAGGGGCAAAGATGGTCAAAATACTTTAATATATTTCATAATGAAATCCATTATTATATGAAATTAATAAATGCTAATAAAATTACCAAAAAAATGAGGATCCATATTTTCTGATAGTATTAACCTCCTGGAACCCTTCATTGCTCTGTGCATAGTTCAAATTTTATCTTTATTAGTTCACGTAGACACTTGGTCATTCAGTCATCCGTTCAGTCAACTAACATTTACTTATTCTTTCTCTATTCAAAGCTCTCAGACACTAGGGAAAAGAGATGATACAGACATTATTCTAACTCTCTGGGAATTCATAGCACACTTGAGGAGATAGATGCATACATAAACAGCATACAGAGTTGTAGAACAGAGGTATGGTAAGAGGTCTGTTAGAGCTAAGGATGTAGCTCAGTTGGAGTGATTGCTTACCTTCTACAAAGCTCTTGGTTCAATCTCCAGCACTGCATAAAAACAGGCATTGTGGCATATGTCTGTAAAACTCAGGGGGGCTGGAGAGATGGCTCAGCAGTTAAGAGCACTGGGTGCTCTTGCAGAGGACCTGGGTTCAATTACCAGCACCCATATGGTAGCTAATAACCATCCTATCTCCATTTCCAGGAGATCTGATGCCCTCTTCTTACCTCCATGGACATTACATGACATGGGAGCACTTACATACATGCAGGCAATGCACTCATATACATAAAATAAAGTAATAAAAAAAACAATACTAAGGTGGTAGAGGCAGGAGAATTGGAAGTTCAAGGTCATGCTTGGCCACATAGGAAGTCCAAGGCCAACTTGGGCTACATGAGACCCTGTTTGAGAGAAATATTTTAAATATTTTATTTATTATTTTTGTTTTGTGTTTATGAGTGTACTGCCTGCATTTGTGTAAGTGCACCCATGCTGTGCAATGCCTGCAGAGGTCAGAAGACAATGTTGGATTCCCCTGAAACTGGAGTTACAGAGGGTTGTTAGCTGCCATGTGGGTGCTGGGGATTGAATCCCGGTCCTCTGCAAGAGTAGCTAATGCTCTTAACCACTCAGTCATCTCTCCAGCCCCAAGAGAAAATAAGTTTAAAGGTCTATTCAAAATACTTTATGTGGCATTGGAGACAGGGAATAATGTCTACTTCAACCCTATGGCCTAAGTGGGTAGGACTCAAGTTGTTAGTTGTTCTTGGAAGTGAGGTGGATAAACTGATGCTGGGCAGCAGGAAACCCAGAGATGCACTCCCATTCAAATTTCTCTAACACTCTATCATTCTTAGATTTTCCCTTTTTGCATGGCATCCTACCCATATTTTATTCTTAGATTGCACTGAAAATACGACTTTTTAAAAGATCTCTTAAATTACCTACATAATCTCTGTTCTAGTGGAAACATTTATCTGACTTGAGTTTGGGATGCACTTTTATTACGGGGTCTTTTCACTGTTCTTAGCAATGTGGTTCTTCACCATCAGTTATCAGCAATGGGCTGTATCTGTTGATTTCCACACACTGGTCATTAGTTAGGCTCAAAAGAAAAGGCTTTTCAGGTTGGGGTGTGGCTTGGTGGTAGAGTATTTTCCTAATATGTGTGAAGCCTCTGGGTTTCATCTCCAACAGGGCCAAAAAGAAAAGGAAGAGGAAGAAGAGGAGGAGGGGGGAGGAGAAGAGGAGAAAGAGGGGGGAAAGGAGGAGAAGAGAGAGGAGGAAGAAGAGGAAGACAAATAACTTTCCCTACCTGAAGATTACCAGGTTCCCATAAACAGAGCAGATAGTGTAATAGATTCCTACTGCTGTTATAACAAATTACCACAAACTTAGTGGCTTAAAATACAAGCATTAAGTGGACTAAAAGCCCATTCAATGGGAGGAAACTCAAGTGTGGTACTGTAAACATAACCAGATACACATGGCTGCAGTGGTCATATATCTTAGAGAAAACCTCAACACTTGTCATATCCCTAGACTAATGTGATTTCTTACTAAGTACAAAATAGGGACCCTTACATTTACAGACAAATATACCAGTCAACACTCATCAAACAAGTTCATTTTGCACCAGTTGGATACTATTACCAAGTACCACAACTGGTCACAAATGGACATTGTCTATGAATTGCCCAGGCCTAAGTGCCGCATCTACAATACAACCTCTATACTTACGGCCCATGGAACATAGAACAGGGGTAAAGAGGACACTAATGAATCTCTCAGTTCTCAATAATGAAGCTCTCTCACTCAGCAGAGGGCCAGGAACACAAAAGGTCACAAATGGCCAAAGTGCATGGAGACCAAGAGCCTGCTGAATGCTGGTCCTTGGACAGGCCTCCTTTATTAAATTTTACCCACCCAAGGCTCAGGGACCATCTCAGAAGAGGAGGCAGAAAGATGGTAAGAGCCAGGGAGGAGGTGTATAGGACCATATGGAAACAGAGTCCTACAAGCTCCTGGGACCCTGCTCATATGATTCCATGGCAATGGTGTCAGCATACACAAGTCCCATGCAAACTCAGGCAGACAAAAACCCAGCATAGAACTGGGAAAATGAACAGAAGATCCCAATCTTATCTGAAAAAATGTTGACAACTGATTGCTGCCAGGTGAAAAAAGGCTGATTTTTCTAAAACAAGGGACTCTAGATAGGTTGACTAGACCTCAGTGAATGGACTAGTGCTGGGGAATGCCTGGGGACACTGACTTGACACAGTGGGCCTTAACAAGGATGACAGAGTATATGGGCTCCAATCGGGGGGTGGCTATGGAAGGGTGCTGGTAGGGACTGGAGTATAAAGATGATTAAGATTGATTGGGATGTTCTGCATGAAATACAATAAAAACAAACTTAAAACAAAAAAACCCAAAACACAAGTGTGTGTGGTGCTCAGAAGCTGAAATGAGTCTTATAGCAAGGTGCCAGCAGGACTGTGTTCCTGCCTCTAAGGGAACCTGTTTCATGACTTTCCCAGCTTCTAGAAGCCATTCACATTCCTAGAGTTATGGTTTCATTTCCATCTTCAGAGCTAGCAGCCTAACACCTTTAAGTTTCCCTCTGTTTCTGCCCTTCCAGCTCCCTCTTCCACATTTAAAGGCCCCTGGCGTCTAATTATCCTGGGCTTATGTAATCCAGGATATTTTATGTGAAATGATTAGCAGCCTTGGTTCTATTTGCAACCTTAATTCTCCCTTCCTAAGAAATATAACATTTTCATAAGCCCCGGGATTAGGATGTGAACAGCACCAGTAGACCATTCTGCTTACATGTGGCTGTAAATTCTGGTGGCTAAGTGAGTCTCCCTGTGTAGCCATGCAGACAGCTTTCCTCTGGGCACAGGGGGTAACAGTGGAGTTTGAGTACCTGCTGGATTCAGGCTCAAGGTCTGTTCCCACTGACTAAGGACAGAGCAAATGAGCAGGGATGAGCTTCCCACCGTTGCTCTGGGAATCCATGGCCCAGCGGGCGATTGCTGCCCTCCTTCCCATGCCATCACTAGCAAAGGATGTAGGTGGGGTAGCACTGAGTTGGTTCTCCAGCTTCCCCACTGTGTATGGGGAAAGCTAACGAAGGAAAGTAGTTTGCTGGCGTCCTCTCCCTCACTTTCTCCAACTTTACTGCTTTTGGGAACCTAAGGGCCCGAGGCGTGACAGTGATTTCCAGCAGTGAGATAAAGTTTTCTCTTTCCTTGTGTTGAGTCATTTCAGCAGAAAGTTATGAGATAGAAAGAGTGAAAGTTGTGCTAGGTCAGTGTCTTGGCTCCATTCCCTATCTGCCTCCACTCAATCCCAGCTCAAATAAGTTGAAAACATGCTTTAACCTTCCATAAAAAAATATTTCAAGACAGTTTTTTTTTTTTTTTTTTTTTTGGTCTTTTTGAGACAGGGTCTCCCTGTAGCCCCAGCTATCCTGGAACTCACTATGTGGACCAGGCTGTCCATGAACTCATAGAGCTCTGACTGCCTCTGCCTCCCAAGCGGTGGGGCTACAGGCATGTGCCACCATGCCCGGCTCAAGACAGCTTTTTAAAAAAAATTCATTCATTGTGTTTGTACAGCAAATGGATACCTAGCTCACATTACTAATACAGGAGACTGGGGTGGGCCCTGGGAATCTGTGTTTTAAAAATCTTCAACTGTGATTCTGAGGCACAGCTAAAAAAAGCAGATCCGATCTGATGGTTTAAAGTGAGGGACACTGGGGTGTTGTATTTATCTTAGGAAATAAAGTGCAAAACCAATCAACAAGTTTCTTATGTGTCTCACTGAAAGTATAACTGCAAATAAAGAACTAAGGTGCTGAGTACTTACATTAGCTGCGGAACAAACTCTAGAAAGCAAGCTGCTAGGCCTAGGGGCACAAGCCTATGACTACAGCTACTCATAATCCTCAGTCAGGAAGATCACGAGTTTGAAGTCTGCTTGGGCTATAGGAAGTTCAAGCCTAGCCTGGGAAACTTAGCAAGCAAAAAATTTTTTTAAAAAGTTAAAAGAGGACTGGGAAATAGAGCTCAATAGTAAAAGTGCCTAGCATGTGGAAGGAAGCTCTAGGTTAAACTCTCAGCATGCCAAGAGAAGATGAAAAAGAGGAGGAAGAGGAGGAAAAATCATCCAGAATTAATTCCCCACTCCCAAATCGAAGGGAAAGCTTGTGCTTTGCTGCTAAAAGTACAGGAGGTGAGATATTTCACACCCTTTGACATCTGCACAGTATTTTCCAGTTTACATGATATTGAGACTATTGCCACCTCTGTCCTCACAATACAATCTTGAGGTTAGCTGGACAGACGTAGAGGGCTCTGAAGCTCAAGAGACCTCAAAGTTATTGTCTGAGGTAGTACAGGACTGAACCAAATCTTAATCCTTTATTTCTGGTCCCCTGCTCCAGCTGTTTTATCTTTCCTTTTTGACTGACAGTGGACATATTGTCCACTGGCACTTATTTCACGAGATCGCTTTAGTCTCTTCATCACATCTCCCTTGGGTTCTGTACCTGGGCCGCAGCTACCTCGTAGCCATCAGGATTCATGGAAGGCAGGATGTGAATGTGAGTATCCTGGATGAGGCGGAGGATGCGCTGGTTCCGATTCCGGAACTCTTCGCAGAGGAACTCAGACAGCTGCAGCAGTAGCTCCCGGCCCAGCACCTCATTGCCATGCATGTTTCCCACGTACTTGACTTCTGGTTCCACTGAAATAGAGAAATGCACACGCAGAGATGCAGAAGATGGGAATGCTACCGACCCCTGACTCAGAGACTGGGGCGTGGTGGTGCAGCCTGTAGCCCTGCACTTAGAAGGTGGGAACAAGAGGATCAGTTCAAGGCCAGCTTTGGCTACATAGTTTGAAGCACGTCGGAGCTTCATAAGACCCTGTCTTAAACCTTAACCCTCCCACACACACACACAAAAAATAAAGAAATGGAAAGAGAATCTCAGTTTTCATTAGGTCTTTTCTAGTGATTCCAGAGCCATCTCATAATCAATTGCAATAGAAAAAGCTATAGAAATCCATATCAAGGATAATGACAACCAGTTATTGAAACCCCAACACTGTATGTTGGTCTATGTTCATTATTGCCAATCTTCTTGGAAAACCTGTGGCGAAGGTTCTTCAGCCTCAGAGTGGCGTGAGGGATGGAAGAGGTCAGTAGCTTGAGGCTGCCTGGCTAATGAATATATAGAGGTCAAAGCCCAACTAGGCTCCCATCTGCAGGAGCACACTGTTCAGAGAGTTCAGAGAGAAATCTTTTATTTTTCCCTCCAATGTTTTTCTGCTTATGTGACTTGTTGATTCTGCTCCTCTTCATCTCCTTATTTCCCACCATCCTCGTAGGTCCAGTTGGAATATTTCTTATTTTAGGGTGCCATCTTGGACACTTCCAGCTGGAAGTGAGTTCTGTGTTGACTTCTTTTTTATGGTTCTTGATGCCTATTGTTCTGGGTACTATCTATACTGGCACATATTTTATTTCCTTCACAGGACCTAGCCTTGGCCATGTAGACAATCTGAACATTTTTTAGGGCACAGTTCTCTCAAAGGAATGCTTGTAATCCACAAGAATCATGTGCTAGTTTAAACAATATTATATATTAATTAATACATACTATATTTCTTTCTGTTTTTTTTTTTTTGTCTTTGTGAGACAGGGTCTCCCTGTAGCCCCAGCTGTCCTGGAACTCACTATGTAGACCAGGCTGGCCTTGAACTCACAGAGATCCTCCTGCCTCTGCCTCCCATGTGCTGGGATTAAAGATGTGTGCCACCACAGCTGCCCTCTACTATATTTCTTTAATCTTAGATTATGTCCTTCTTTTTTTGTTAAAATGTTTTTGTTTTTTAGGAACATTGTAAAACAAAATTTGGAAAATTTGGTTGGTCTTTTCCAATCTCTCTTACTTATTAAAGAAATGTTTTAACTTCTCTATGAGATTTAAGTGTGGGAATCATTGGCTTAGTTTACCCAGAATAGGGCTGTGCGTTTGGTAGATGTTCACTAGCAAATCTTTCCGGCTTTAATTATTTTCCTTTTTTAAAATTTTATTCTTTTTATTTGTATAAGTGTTATGCTTGCATGTATGTAAGTGCACACATGTCGTGCAATGCCCACAGAGGACAGAAGAGGATGCCAGATTCCCTGGAACTGGAATTATGGCCAGTTGTAAGCCACCTCATGGGTGCTGGGATTCAAACCTGGGTCTTCCGCAAGAACAGCCAGTGCTCTTAACCGCTAAGCCATCTTTCCAGCCCTCTATTTTTCTTTTTCCTTTTTTTTAAAAAAATATTTATTTTATATGTGTGTGTGCACGTGTGTGTGTGTGTGTGTGTGTGTGTGTGTGTGTATGTCAGTGTGCATACCACATGTGTGTGGATGCCCTTGGAGGCGAGAAAAGAGCTTCAGATCACCTGGAATAGGAGTTAGAGGTGGTTGTGAGCCACCTGACATGGGTGCTAGGAACCAAACTCACATCCTGTGCAAGAGCAGTACATGCTTTTAACACTGAGCCATCTCTCCAGCCCCTCTGGCTCTAATTTCAATATAGACAGAATACAATCACTTCTCATATAAGCACTGCTATTAATTCAGCTCAAGCTCCATTTGTTCACATTTGTAATACATCTCCCACTCAGACTTCCTGAATCTGTGCAGCTCCTTTAACATCTGTCCTCTTAAATCAAGAGTTGATAGCCAGGCATAGTGGCACACAGGAGGCAGAGGCAGGCAGATCTCTGTGAGTTCAAGGCCAGCCTGGTCTACATAGTGAGTTCCAGGCTAGCTGGGACTACAGGGAGACCCTATCTCAAAAAGACCGAAAAAAAAAAAAAAAAAGAATTGACAAAAATCTTCGTTAAATACAAGGGCCTGATAGTAGATCCTTTAGGCTTTGTGGGCAATATTGCCTCTGCCACAGCTGTCCAACAGGAGTCACAGACAACACAAAAACGAACGGGTGTGACACTTCCAAAACAACTTCATTCAGCAGGGCAGGTGTCTGGCCCCCAAGCTGCAGTTTGTTCACCTCCATTCTGAGTCATGTTTTAAAAATGTAAGCCAGCTTACATCCATCAGCTTCTTATTTTGTTCAAAGTAAAGGCCAAGATGGGTCAATGGCCTGTAAGGTCCAAATGAGCTTACATTGCCCTGTGCTCTCAACCTTCCCACTCTGACCATGCTTCTTATTTCCCCATTTCCCTCTCTGCTAGAGCCATGGTGACCCCTCACTGGTCTTCATGTGTGCCAGCTGTGCTCTGGCTCCTGGAGCACTGAATTTCCTCTTCCCTCTGCCTGCCACACTGTCCCCCCTCAGCATGGCATGCGGTCGTGTCCTTTAGATTTCTGCTCAGCTTCACCTCAATGGAGGAGCCTTTCCTGAGCACCAAAACTTCCTGCACTCCTCTCTGGACTGCTTCACAGCATACCTATCTCTCCTGATTTAATTTTGCTACAGTACACATATTTCTGACATACCATACATTTTATTAATCACCCCCCGCCTTTTTTTTTTTTTTGTCTTTTTGAGACAGGGTCTCTCTGTAGCCCCAGCTGTCCTGGAACTCACTAGGTAGATCCGCCTGCCTCTGCCTCCCAAGTGCTGGGATTAAAGGCGTGCACCACCACGCCTGGCTTAATCACTCATTTTTTGCTGGTTTTATTCCACTATAATTCAGGCTCATTAAGGTAGAGACTATATTATTCTCTGTTGCACTTCCAAAGTCTACAAAAGTTTTTATTTTATTTTATTTTTTAAGACTTTTAAAATTTTATTTTTATTTTATGTGTATTCATGTATTGCCTGCATGTAGGTAAGTGCACCTGTGTCGTGCATTGCCCGAGGAGGTCAGAAGAGGCTGTCGGATCCCCTGGGACTGGAGTTACGGACAGTTGTTGGCTGCTACGTGGGTGCTGGGATTCGAACCCAGGTCTTCTGCAAGAACAACTAGTGTTATTAACTGCTGAGCCATCTCTCCAGTCCCAAGACTTATTTTTAAATTCCGTGTGTGTACGTGTGTGTGTATGTGTGTGTGTGTGTGTGTGTGTGTGTGTGTCTTTGGAGGTCAGAAGATGGCACCAGATCCCCTGCAAGTGGAGTTATAAGTAGTTGTGAGCAGCCATTTCACATGGGTGCTTGGAACCGAACTCAGGTCGTCTGCAAAAGCAGCAAGTGCTCTTAACTGCTGATCCATTTCTCCAGCCCCAACAAAAGTTCTTACATCTAGTAGGTGATTGATAAATATTTGTATAATGAAGGAATGTAAGGAACAAATGAAAGAACTGCTAGTTCAGAGAAAAGAGGGATCAGTGTGCACCAGTGTTCCGTGCAAAAGCTTTAAGGAAGGCCCCGAGTGCTAGAGTGCGGGTACCAGGAAAGGGGCATGGACTACAGGCCCTAACCCCATTATGTCTATCAACAAGCTTCCACGTTGAGTGTGTGATCTAAGTCAAAGCAGGTGCTTGGCACACAAGTGTAGCTTCAAAGCAAGGCCCCAGTCTCTTCTTGAGCCTCTCCTACGGAAAATTTGGAAGCTCTCATGGTCAGTATTCATTGGACTTTGAAAGCAGGAGAGTGAGAAGACTATTAGTATTTAGGGAAAGTATTCTGGCAGCTTTATGCCAAATTAGGGATGGGTGGTTCAAAGAGTGGCAACCCTTAGGAATTAGGACAGTCATTGGGAGTTTAGTGTAATGATTTAGGGCAGATTATAATGGAGAATGGAATAGGGCTGGGGTGTGGAAGGGAAAGGAAAGAAAGGAAAGGAGAGATGTGACAGTTTGAAGGAGGAACTGACATAACTCATATGATATAACTCAAATGCCACAATTGCTAAAGATAAAGCAATGAGAGATTAATGACATCTTCAATGTTCACCAATATATGAGCAGTTAAAGAAACTTCATAATGGAATATTATGCAACCAAAAATGATTACATAGATTTACATTCATAGACAGGTATGCTGTTCACAATGGACTATGAAGAGAGAAAAGCAGTTGTAGTATGATTCCATTGTTATGAAAAAATGTGCACTTGAGAGGTAGAATTAAATAACAAAAATGTCTGAAAGGACATATACATCACTATGGTTATCTGTGAGTGGTGGGATTATGCATGTTTTATCGTTGTTTCTTATCTAAGTTCTAATTTTTTGGTTGGTTTGTTGGTTGTTTTGAGACGGGGTTTTGTATGTTGCCCAGACTGATCATGAACTAATTTTTAATCTAAAAATGGGTGGCTTTGATAATAGAAGCAAACTAACAAACATTAAGGCTGATATCCCAAACCTCAAACTCTCTAGGATGCAATGTTTGATCACACACGATTCCTGGAAGGAATATCCCTAAACCCCGTGGCAGAACCAGAAGTCCAATGGTTTCTGCTATGCTCCTGAATGGATCCTGAAAGACTGAATAATAGGAGAAACAGACCAGGGGTGTGAGAGCAGGGGGACAAGAAGGGCGCAAACAGAACCCAAGAAGGAGACAGGAGCTGGAGGCTGAACTGGGGTTGCAACTCCCCAGAGGCAAGAGAAGCTTGGGAGCTAAGTGGGGAAAGCCTTCTCCTAAGTGGAGGAAGAGGTAACACTTGACCATGTGAAGGGTTTCACGAACCTTCATGGAAGCAATCCCTATGACGGAAACTTGTAAGGGGTGCTGCCCCAGATACCCTAGAACTAATGAAGACTTACAGGGCTCGTGGCTTCCAGGGCAGTCGCTGAATTCCAGCACATAGAGGTGCCTCCCCTTCACACTACGCCCGATGCTGTAGACCCGCGTGATGTCGGGGCATTGGTTGTGCACCTTGTACAGCGTCCGCACCAGATCATTGCAGCGGTGGTGACGGAAGGTCACAGGAGCAACCGATTTGAAGAAGAGGAGGAGGTGCAGGGAAACTGAGAGCAGGTCTGCAATCTTGCTGAACTTCGAGGTGGGGGGGGTCTCTGGGTCTTGTCCTTTTTTCCCCTCAAAGGCTCTAAGGGGGAAAAAAAAAGGTATAAAACCAAAACCAGGGGCTGGAGAGATGGCTCAGCAGTTAAGAACACAGAAGGCTCTTGCAGAGGTCCTGTTCAGTTCCCAGCACCCAGTGGCAGATAACAACCATCCATAACTCCAGTTCTAGAGGTTTTGAGGCCCTCTTCTGACCTTCAAGGGCATTACATGAAACAGGTGCACTTGCATACATGCAGACAATACACTCATACATATAAAATAAAAATAAAATGTTAAAAAATAAAAATAGAGAAAATGAGTTAACTACTTGGAGCAAACAATTTTTAAGTCACATCTCTGATAATATATCTATATTACATAAATAATCCGTAACACAATAGCAGGAAGATAATCCAATTTCAAAATAGGCAAAACACAATGGTTTCCAGAAGAGGACTCTAAATAGCTCAGGATGTTATACTAAAAATTGACAGTTGGGATTACATCAAGCTAAAAAGCTTTTGCATAGCAAAGGATACAGCCCACAATATAGGAGAAAATATTTACTAGCTAGTCATCCAATAGATGATTAATATCCAGAATTTAAAACACTAGAAAAATTAAACCCCTTCTGGGTGTGGTGACACACACCTATAATTTTAGCATATAGGAGGCAGAGGCAGGAGGATTGCTGCAGGTCTGAAGCCAGTCTGACTTTTGAGACAAAAGAACAAATGATCCAATCAATAAAGAAACAAATTAGTTGAATAGACACTTCAAATGAAGGAATACCAATGGCCAATAAACACATGAAAACGTGTTCAACATTTTCAATTATCAGGAAAACACAAATGAATGCTATACTGAAATTCCATCTCAGCCCAGTCAGAGTAATTATCATCAAGAAAACAGTAAATGTTAACGAGGGTGTTGAGAAATGTAAATTAGTTCAGCCATATGGAAACCCGTGTGGTGGTCCATCAAAAAACTAAAGATAGAACAACCATGTGCTCTAGAATCACTCTCTTGGGTGCATATCCAATGGAATCTAAGTCAGCATACTGCAGGGACACCTCTACACCAGGTCTATTGTGGTGTTATTCTCAATAGCCAAGTCATGAAATCAGTCTGGGTGCCCAGTCACAGATGAACAGATAAAATGTGGCATATCTACACAGTGGCATATTATTCAGTCATAAAGAAGAATAAAATTATATTATCTTCAAGAAATGGGTGGAACTGGAGGTCACAGGAAATAAAATAAGCCACACCCAGAAAAGCAAGTGTTAGATGTTTCTTCCCCTCAAGTGTAGAATCTAAAAAAAGAAAAGAAAGAAAAAGAGATGAAGTGGAAAGGACTATTAGATAATGAGAGGGTCACTAGCAGGACATATTATTCAGTCATAAAGAAGAATAAAATTATGTTATCTTCAAGAAATGGGTGGAACTGGAGGTCACAGGAAATAAAATAAGCCACACCCAGAAAAGCAAGTGTTAGATGTTTCTTCCCCTCAAGTGTAGAATCTAAAAAAAGAAAAGAAAGAAAAAGAGATGAAGTGGAAAGGACTATTAGATAATGAGAGGGTCACTAGCAGGAGGTGGGAGGGAAGATTAGTGTGGGTAGGGGGAGGTTAGATACAATCAAGATACTTTGTTTATGAAAATGTCATTATAAAACCGACTTATATAATTTATATACACTAATAAAAATGTTGAAAAGATCTGAATAGATGTTTCACTAAAGTAGATGTACAAATGGTTCCTATTTTTGAATGTTCAATATTTGTTACTAAAATGCAAGTTAAAACCATGTAGATAGCACTTCACACCCTCCCCCCAGAATGACTGTAATCTAAAATAACACTAAGGCTTGTTGGTGAGAA